TGTGTGTGTATAGCGAAGCGACATTGAACTTGTCTGTGTTTTGGAATTCTACAGCAAAAAAAGACTGTGGCAGGCGTTCAGGTTCAGCTTACCTTCCACACACGTAGAGAAGAAGAATCTCATCATGTCTCTGCTTCCACTTGGGTCTAGCCCTGCTGCATTAACTTTGTTGACAACTTCTCGAGTATGCTCCAAAGCTTCGCGTATCTGTATAAAGTAGTGCAAAAACTGAGATTTTCTTGCGTGTATTGATGTGAAGGTATGCAACTACTAATCAGGTATATCCTGTTGTGTTTCGTTCACGTGCTCAATTTACGATGCAGATGCAAGACAGAGATTAATAGTTTTTCGTGCGAGTCTTGTGGAAACTGATATTTAATATTCAACAAGCTAATGTTTCAAAAGGATACAAAACGAAGGTTCGGAGTAGTGAATGGAAAAATGGAAGAAAAAAAAAATGCAAAAGTGTTCAATAGCATATAAATCACAATAGAAACGTCGTTCTGATCATACTCAGATGTCCCCGGACGGGCAACGATATATATAGAATAGACATGCATAATACAACATGCATAGTAGAGGTCAGCATACCAGATTGTTTGCAAGGAGAACGCTCAGTATAAGCTGTGGGCTGGCGTCCATGGCCATGTTATTCTTCATTAGTCGGAAGTAAGTCAAGGCAAGATCGGGTCTGGTATCCAGAATGGTACCCAACACTATCGAACAGGGCACGATTTGTACAGCACAATTGCGCTTCGGCAGATGGCTCTCCACCGCAGCCCAGTCCTGCGCAGCAAAGTTGAGCAAACGGTAAGGTTTTGTATTCAGCTATAGGCTGAGGCAAGGTTGGCCGGTTCTAACGCATACGGCAAAGAACACTGGTGTGTCATAGGCATACGCATTTATGTTTAGAACCGATTGATACACAAGCAAGTGTACATTTGTATGGCAGTGACAGTGTACATCGCATTTACGTACTAACACATACATATATAGTCAAGTGAGACAGAATACATCGCACTCTATACAGAGAGTTAGGTTTAGAGATATGTACATATGTATACCTATATGTAAATTGTATGTATATTTATATATATGTATATGTGTATATACATGTATATGTATATGTATATTCATGTTTATATATATATATATATATATATATATATATATATATATATGTGTGTGTGTGTGTGTGTGTGTGTGTGTGTGTGTGTGTGTGTGTGTGTGTTAGTA